TGCTTGCTTGATGATTTCAAGCTTATTCTGAAAATGGGTCAAATTCCTCCTAGAAAATATTGCCTTCTAGAATTTGTCCAGCTTCCTTTTTTTCCTAATTTTTCATCCTCTCCAAAATCTTTTGATAAGAAAGTTTGGAATTTTCCAGATCCATTGAAACAGCCAAAACTGTCCAGTTCTGGTCAGAAAATAATTTCTGGGTTTATTCTGGATTTTGAGAGACTATTTGGTTACTAGCCTCTATCATTCATTCTTTGGACAAAGGCGATTGAAATAGGCTAATTTACAAAGAAAGGCCATTCCAGTTTTCTCAAGCAATAGAACCATTCCATTTTAATTATATTGATTTACATTTTGTTATAAAAATCTGGATTGGGTAACAAAAAAGTGACTGTGAAATTAAATGGGGTTTGAGTCTGGCATTCTAGTTACTCCACCTCATGCTCTGTAGGGATAGCTGGCAAACCATAGCCTCCTAATGGTCACTAATAAAACAGATTAGCCGTTAATTGAAGCAAGCAGAACTGTGCTTATGTAAACCTACCTGGAACTAAGTCCCATTAATTTAATAAGGCTTACTTCTGAATGGACAGAGATCTTTTTCATATGATGCATGCACTTTGTGTACAGATTTTGGAGAAAAATGAAACAGTAAAGGAATATTAATATAGCTTATAGCATCTATTGTCTCCATCCAGCATGGCTGATGTTGGAACTATAGCCTAAAGCATCTTAATGTTTTTTTCTAGTTACATAAAGAAGAGCAGATACCTACATTCCAAAGGAGTAATTGCAGATCTGGAAGCAATGCTATTTTTAAATGTTTGGCCAGCAATTGGACAAGATATTAAAGACAAAGGTGGCTATTCTCAGAGAACAATACACATATGCGTGCACGTTCACTTACAGGGACCCACAAACAGCATTTAACATTCTGCAGTGTTATTAAAAAAGAATAATTCATTCAGCACCTGCTGCTTAGAGATAAGAGCTCCTGTGCATCCTTAACCATTTCCTCAGAGAGATCAGTCACTTCATCTACCAAAAAACACTCGTCTCTGGGTCAAGCAATTGGCAAAACAAACTTCCCCAATTATTCTTCTGAGTATTTGTGCAAACTGTTTAACGGAAGCATATTTACATTTCCTCCCCTTTTTACAGTATAAGAAGGATGGAGTCAGCACAGATATTAAAATGGGTGAAATGGGATTTAACATCTTTGTTCTGTCCATCAACGTTTGAATTTAAAATGCCTGTACAAATAATGATTCTATAATTTTCAGGTGCATTTAGGGAAAACAAAAGGAGGCAAAAGAACATTTACTCTTCTTTGGTTGATCACATAAACCAAGTTAAGGAAGAAATTCCCAAGGACGGAGCTGTGTAATCCAGTCAGCTTCTTGTCTAAACATGTCTGGCTTATATTCATCAAGAAGACATAGCAGGACCACAGTAGAGGGCTCTTTTGTTTCATTTAGTTAAGCTGTGCTCAAGAATAAAAAAAAGTCCTGACAGTAAGATCAGTGTAACAGTGGAATAATCTACTTTATCTATGGTATAAAGAAGCTACTTAATTGAATCTGGATGTTTTTAAGAAGAGTCCAGCAGCCACCTATCATATTTTTAACGATATTTTATTACTAAGATAGTAATGTACAGGCAAATAAGAAAAATAATTATTAAATTTTAATTAAAAGCATTGTGAAGCCTTTTTTCCAACACCTCCTCTCCTTCCTTTCTGATTGTGTCTCCAATTGCTAACTGCAGTTAAGCTATCTGCATTTTACCTTAAGCCTTAAAAATTGTTACTGGTTTCTAACTAAATGCTGGATGCCATATTCCAAATATTTGAAACCAGCCTTCCCGTGTAAAGTGCTTGAATTTGGTTCTCATGAATGGTTTAACTGGTTTTCCTACACAATACAGCGCTTTGGATTAGCTGGTCCTTGTGGTTCCTTTCATTCTGGCATTCTCTAAGAACTGCTACACAGGATCTGATTTTGTTTCTAACAATGACTGATTACTGTATTCCATTTTATAGCAGGAAGGACTATTAGCTAACGATTACTATTCAAGATGCCAGTATGGTGCTGTAATGGGCTATAATAACGATCTTGGGAGACAGGAGGAAGATTTACAGCCTAGACAAAGATCTGATAAGAAATATCCAAGTCCAAAGTAGGAAAGGGAAATGCAGGAGGACAAAGCATCTCAGAAGGAATCCTTCCTGGTTCTCTGGAAAGTAAAGGCAGGGAACGGGGAACGCTTTCACCTGCAAGATTCTGTTACTGTAATTTTATAGATTAGTGTTCATGGCTTTGGCCTGGCTTCATGGCTGGGGTACCTCTGATAGGCTGATAGATACCTATGGATTCAGAGGGGGAAAACATGCATTTCTGTCCTGCTTCTCAACTGTGACTTGAGTTTTGACAGCAACCTGTTCAGCTTCCTGTAAATACTAGCATTGAATATACAGTGTGAGTTCTCAATGTACAAAGTGATGTGCTGTGAAAAGAGCAGCTTTTTCAGGGTATTTTTTTTACCTGCCTTGAGATATGCTGAAGATCCACTGAAACAAATGGAGCTGGGTTTCTCCTTGACATTTTTTTCTTTTTGCAGTAAAATAGAAAATGAATTTATCCAATGTCACAACAAAAATCACAATATAGTCAAGATATGTAATTGGAGGAGATCAGAAAGTATATAAGCAGTAAATGCAGAAAAGAATACATTGCTCCAGATCTAATCACGTTATAAAAAGAGAGATGGGAAGTAGGGCTAACAACTGGTTTTGGAAATACCAGTCATTTGTTTTCATTGAGATACAACAACACTGTGATTCTCAGGGATTCAGTTAAAATCAGGGGTGGAATTCAGCCAGTTCGCACCAGTTCGGCAGAATCGGTAGCTAATTTTTTGTTGCCCAGGCCCAGAACAGAGAACCGGTTGTTCACATATTTGAATCCCACCACTGGTTAAAATGTACTCCTTTGATAGCAAAAGATAAAAATGGTCGTGGTGAGGGTGGAAAACAGTTTATTTTTGAGAAAGTTTACTGCCAAATAAAAAGCAATGCAATAATAGTGTGTATTTCTTTGAGGCTTGGTATAGACTTCAAGTACCTCTGACTGTAAATATTGCCTCTGAGTCTACAACTCAGCAAGGCCTTGAAGAGTATTCAGAGGACAAGAATTCTACTCACTTTTTGCTTTCTCAGCCTGATAACGAATTGAATAGAATAATGTAATTCTGTTGCCTGAGAGCTCATGATCAAGATGGCCGTCCTTCAATAGTTCCTTCAATTATACGGCCATATTATTGTGTGAGCTTCAGGCAGAGCATCAGTTTTTACCAGCCTACTTAAAGACTCAATAAAGCAGTTCTTCCCAACTTTGGCAACTTTAAGATGCGTGGACTTCAAGTCCCAGAATTCCCCAGCCAACATGGACTGGAACATGCTGGAACAACCCTCTCTCTTCTTGAGGGTTAATGGCCTTGATGGCACATATTTTCTTTTTTCATTTTGAGTGAGAAAACAATCCCTGATTGGATTGCTTGAGACCTCAAGATTAGGCAGATTCCATTTGTCTGAATCTATGAAGTCCCACACTAAGCTGTGGGTCTCTCTAATGCAGGGTGTTAGATCCTGTGACCCCAGGATCCCTTCTTTTTTTTTCTTTTCTGAGTCTTCAGAACTCTTTCTGACTGCTATGGACAATAAATTGTGAGATTTATCATTTTGGGACAGGAACTGAAACCATAATATAAGCCCTCAATATAATCAATGTATTTTTGAAAACAAAGAACTTTTGCCCAAAACTTACCCCTCCCCCAAATAGGGACTACACATGAAGTGACACAACTTGTTCATTTTATGTGGTTGCTCATCCACTTTTGTCTTTGGCACATTCCCCAGATCCATTGAAACAATCAAAATCTTTGCTGTGCAAGATCTGGCCACAAAATATGCCCATATAGCTTCTCCATCAAAGCCGAGTTAAAGCCAACAGATCAGGCACAATAGGATCTTAGTAATATAACAGCTAGGGAGCCACTATGAAAGAACTCTGGTGAATGCTATATACCGTATCTAAGCCAATGATGGCGAACCTTTTAGAGACTGAGTGCCCAAACTGCAACCCAAAACCCTCTTATGTATCGTTGGGTGCTGGGTGGGCATGGCTCATTGGGTGGGTGTGGCCCATTGGTGGGCATGGCTGCGGTGGTAACGGCAGATTGGGTGGGACTAAAAAGTCCAATCAATCAATTCCAACTTTGCAAGATCTTTTTTTTCTCGCGTAAAGTTGAAATTGATTGATTGATTGAACTTTTTTTTTTTTTAAAGCGAAAGGGTTATATAAAACCCAGCTGAAGGCCTAGGACTGGGGCAATGGCGCACGTGCCCACAGAGAGGGCTCTGCATGCCACCTGTGGCACGTGTGCCATAGGTTCGCCACCACAGATCTAAGCTATCAGTAGTTCCAAAAGTTCAGAAAGAGATAGCAGGAACTAGTTGCCCCTTTCAAGCTTCAGGAGGACATAATCAACTAAAGCCAAGACCTTATCAGCCCATTATGTACAACTATAGGACAGTCCTGGAAGTGTGCATGTAATGCCTTAAAACAGGGATGTCAAATTGCCAGCCCATGGGCCAGATGTGTCACGAGGAAACCGTGCCCACCCCATTGCCAGCAATGGGGAAAACGTTCCGTTATGTTGCGCGACATCACAAGTTTGACATGCCTGCCTTAAAATGTAGTGAGGGGCAAGAGTAAGAACAATAGGAAGCTATAGGATGATGAAATCCTAAAGCTCTTCTTCTTTTTATTTATGATCTGTGGGAGGATAGACCTTACCTATCTGCTCTGTCCCTATAGACCCCATCCTGACCTCTTAGAGAAGTATGACTCTGGCACAACTAATTTTCTTCACGAAAGGAGACCTGGAACAGAATAGTACATAAATGTATAACATAAATGAACAATATGGGACAGACATTGTACAAAGAAATACATGCCAAGCATTTAATTAAAAAACAGCAGCATCCCAAGACTTTTTGGCCTGGCAGGCTCCACACCAACATGGGGGAACTGAATTTTCATAACCTTTGCATCTGGTCTATCCCCTTTTCTGAATTGTGCTAAACATTTCTTCCTCTACACTCATTCAGTTCTGAACCTCTTTCTTTTTAAAATTAAGGTCCAGGTTGAAAGGCCATTATCTTGACTCGATATTATAGACTACCCTGCTTTAGCACAGAAAAAAAGCAGAAATTGTAACAAGTAGCAAATCACATTCATTCTCAGCCCTGTGAGGCAAATCATACACAGCTAGAAGAAAGCACTTCTTGTTGCAGCTTTTTATGAAACCTGGCAGGTGGCACTTTAAATTACACAAGCAGGTGCCCCGTGCCTTGCTCCAAGGCTGACAGAAGAAGACTAGTCATTGCTGGTATTTTGAAAAGTTGAGAGCTATTTGGCTGGTTCAGACATGCTTTAATTTTCTCCAATCTCTGTTGGTCCTACTGAAGCTTCAGCTTCCCACTGGGGTTGTTTTATGGATAGCTGGGAAGAGAAAGGCATTAATTGTTTGCCACTGCAGTCAGTGGTTTGAAGTAGGATTATAAGAATTTCAGGATTTGCATGTAGTCATGGCAATTCTTTAAATCCTTATTAGCTAAAATAATTCTGCAGGCAACTACAACTTTGTAGCAAAGATCTATAATATTTGTATTGTGCTTTCAAGATCAACATTTAACCCAATAAATTTTGGTCTGGATTTAAGAAAGTCCAAACTCCATCCAGTATAATTTATGGAATTTTAAAGCATTTTAATGATTGTTCATTTTACATAATTCATTCAAGATTTTGGCTACTCATAGAGAAAATCTGTATCAATATTGGTAGTTTGTCAAATGCAAATTGATCAAATGCAAAGATCTTCCCTCTCACTGCTGCAAAGTTTACTCAGCAATGTTTGCTCACATAGTTTCAAATATCTGATTCTTTCATGTGGTTTATAAGAAATTTAATTCTGTGTCCACCACTTCCACATTTGCAGAATGGTCACAACTGAAAGTTGTATCAGTTGAACTTAAATAAGGGAACTTGGGGATTTTCACTTTGTTTAGGCACAGAATCAAGGTTTGGGTTCTCCATTGGATGTTTCATCTTAAGGCAGTATTTCTCAACCTTGGGGACTTTTAAGATCTGTTGATTTCAACTCTCAGAATTGTGGGAGTTGAAGTCCACAGATCTTAAAGGTTGTGGAACTCTGTTGTAAGGGATCCTGTCTTGTTCCATAAGCACAGAGAGGATCACACACATCATTCATCATGCAAGCTCCCTACCAAAGTGCTATCCCTGGCTTTGACTGAGATAGTTCCTTCACCTTCAAACTTCCTTTGAATCCAACTTGATTCCTGGTGACTTCATGACCAGGTTAATGTGCTTTTCTTGACACTACAGCTGGGATTTGTATTGTCTCCTTTCCTTTTCTTTCTCCAACCGCAGAAAAACAAAAAAATATCATTTGTGGTGACTGTGTTGAAATTTGGAGCTTTTTAAAATTTATATTTGGCCACATAATCAAACCCTTTAAGGAACTGCTGAGTGAGACTGTGAGGAAATGCCTCATCTTTGTTCACCTACTCCCAACGCATGGCCTCACTCCACTGCCTTGAACCAAATGGCAACCTCGACATTCTGTGGGGAAGGAAAAGGATGCTTTCCTCTCTGCTGACTCCTCAACGGCAAACAGGTCAAAGCCCCATATCAATTACACTGCAGATAAAGCCTTTTTCTTTATCAAGAAATTAGAAATAAATCATGAAGGTGTTAGCTCTGGAGAAGCAAGAAGTAGGGGAAATGCAAGTCAGTTTCTTTCAGGGACTCAAGTATCTCCACTGGAGTTCTTCTAATGACCCTAGTGTTTTTACTCGATTTACTGAGTAAATGTACAATAAACTCAATTTATTGGAGTTATTGGAAGGATCCTAGTGGAGATACTTGAGTCCCTGAAAGAAACTTGTTCCAGTGCCAGGTACCCACGCATATGGCAGGCTATGGACACATCTGATGGTGTCTGAAAGGGAGTTAGATCTTTGGTCCATCAACCTTCCCAACCAGACATTCCACAGGAATTCTGGGAGATATGATTGCATCTTAACTGGAGAACAACAGGATGTTAGAAATGTCGCTTGCAATATCATGGTGACCTCCAAGGTCTTAATAGAGAGGCCTTTCCCAGTCCATTGACCTGAGATCTTTCAGATTAGAGATACTGCCAAGGACTAAACTCAAACCTTCCATGCAATTATTTTGAGGGAGAATCTTATTAAAGTGACGTGTACGGAAACCTGTCATGAAATAGAAGGGATGCAGTCATTTTGCTTCATTTGTAGCTTGGTACAAAATTCTAGCTCCATTTGCATCCTAACCAAAGCAAAGCCAAAGCAGTGAAAATCTGACATTGTAAAATTTTAGAATATTGACTCAAAGTAGAATTTTTGAATGATTTACAGTAATTTCTCCTCATTTAGATAAATCCACCTTGATTCTGAAAAGATTTTTAATATTTATTTGATTTTTATGCTGCCCATCTTATCTAGAGGCTAATAGACTGTTTAAGTTCATTTATCTATTGTCCCCTCCACTGGATTTTAAATACAGTTTAATGATTCTGTAGTTTAATGCAGCATGGAGGTCTTAAGCTTTTGTGAACCACACTGGTGCATAAATATTAGAGTGGTGGGATACAGATGGCAAAATAAGCAGTGAATTCAAAACCTGTGTTTAATTGACAAGAGCACTTTTACTTTGTAGAAGGGATGATGCCTTTTCTCTTGTATATCTGCAACTAGGAGTATAAACTTTATCTGTAATGCCAAATATACTATGAGAGTATCAAGTAAACAATTGAAGGTCATACTAACACTGCAGATACTAAAAGTGGCAAGTTTAATCTTGCACAAGAGCCAATTGTCACTTAACATTAGACTAAACCAAAAGAAAGCCCAATACTATTTGTTAAAAATAGCTGCAGCTGAAAAAGGCAGTCTATGTTGCACCTTATGACACCATAGGTCTGAAACCCTGAAGGTTTCCAGGCTGTTACCCATTCGTAAATGATAATCAAAGAAATGTTGTAATGGTCAACTCTTTTTTTGCCTGTTATGGGAAGACCAAAAAATTCATTAGATGGATTTGAATGTGATACTCAAGAGAAATCTCTCTTTGATATCAAGTGATCTAAATGGACCTTGTTTTGCTAGCTCAGACAATGTTTGAAGTAGGGCCATGGCATCTCCATTCTGCTATGGCCTTAACGGGCAAATGCAAAGCCTCAGCTCTTCTTCACTATGTCAGTCCAGTCTTTTCATCATATAGGGCCCTTCTAGTCCATAGCCAATCTTCCTGTAGTAATCTCTGGTACCCACACCTGCAAGGAAAAACAGAAAGACTCAATTTAGAGTTGAGAAACAATTTACGGAGAAGAATATGCAAATAGCCAGTCTTACTGGAAGATGCTTGAAATTTATTTCAAATTACTCCTATTACATCTATTATCAGCAATGAAGTATGTTTATTTTGAAATAATACAGCATCTGTATGTCTTCTTGTCATATCTGTCCGCACACAACACCAAATAAGCTTGCTTCATCTTGCCTCATGCTTCTGTCCTCGGCTTATTCATCCCCAGTTCCCATGTTACAGGGACCCTCTTCTTTTTAGAGCAGAGGTCCCCAACCCTGGCCACTTTATGACTTGTGGACTTCAACTCCCAGAATTCCTCAGCCAGCCATGCTGTCTTAGAGCAGCATGTTCTTCCATTGATACCACAGACGGGAAACCTTGCAGCTCTTGGACTAATTTCATTCAGGATTAATTTTCAAAAACCTTATGTAAGCTCAAATTACTCATAAGAGTGATCTGTCCTTTATCTGCTGAGATGTTATGAAGAGGAAAAATTGGGTGCCGGAGAGGTTCCCTCCCCAATGCACTTCCATCACGTTATTCAAGAGAATGGGGTTCTTGATGGGTTGCTTATCTGTGACTTAGACCAACCCTCCATTTCAGCTGCAGAGCTTTTTATTTATTCTGTGACCACTCTTTCCACACGATTAACTAAAACGTTCCTGTGACATTTGCTACATAATGATACTGTTGACAGTCAAGCAATCTTTTTGTTTGTATTTATGATTATTAAACTGATCTAAGCCATTTTTCCCAGATGCAGAACTATAACCCAGAGCATATGGTTTCCACAAATGTATCTTGTGGAGACAAGAGAGAGGCCATTAGCATATCTCCTTCTATTTTGCTGCTGGAAAATAAAGTTCTTAATCAGTGATTCAGCGAGGGGTGGAAGGTGCTGAATGAAAACAAGGAAATAAATGTGTGCAAGTTATAGATTTTTCTGCCAGATGGCTGGCCTACATGTTCCATTATTTTGAATAATGTGTGGGCTTTATGAAAATCATATCCTTTTTTACATCAGGCTCTTGCCAATCCAGAAGATCAAGTATGAAAATTCTAGATCAAATATTCATAAAATATAAGATTTATAAGTTCTGAAAGACATACTTTTTAAAATAAGAAAGATGAACATTGTATCACATGACTTTCACTTCTGACTGATATGTAGGATAACTACATGCCTAAACTGGAACAATATACAGAAACTCTTATTTGCCTAGTTGCAAAGGAAAAATAGGTGGGGTAATAATACTTTTGGTAGATCAGGAACTATTTTATCAGATACTTGAAATATTATGCTGGGGAATGGGAAATGAAACACAGGCAATACAAGTAAGCTTATTAATACCGAATAATAAAATAACAGAGTTGGAAGGGACTATGGAGGTCTTCTAGTTCAAACCCCTAAGTCAAGCAGGAAACCCTATACCTTTTCAGACAAATGGTTGTCCAAACTGTTCTTACAAACAGTGGAACACCCACCACTTCTGGAGGCAAATCCTTCCACTGATTGTTTTAATTGTCAGAAAATTTCTCCTAGGTTGGTTCTCTTCTTCATTTGTCTCTATCTATTGCTTTTGTCCTGCTTTCAGATGCTTTGGAAAATAGGTTGACTTCCTCTTCTTTGTGGCAGCCCCCTAGATAGTAGAACATTTCTATCATATCACTCCTCATTCTTCAACAAACTAGACATACTCAATTCCTGCAACTGTTCTTCCAGTCCCCTAATCACCTTTGATGTTCTTCTCTGCATTTTCTAGAGTCTCAACATCTTTTTTTATATCGTGGTGACCAAAACTGGATGTAATATTCCAAGTGTGGCCTTACCAAGGCATTATAAAGTGGTATTAATACTTCATGTAATCTTGATTCTGTACCTCTGTTAATGCTACATTGGGCTACGTTGGCTTCTTTGGCAGCTGCAGCAAAATGCTGGCTCATATTTAAGTGATTGTCTGCTAGAACTCCAAGATTCTTTTCGCAATTACTACTATTGAGCCAGGTACCACCTATTCTATACCTGTGCATTTGGTTTTTCTTGCCTACATGTAGAACTTAACTTTTTTGCCACTGAATTTCATTTTGTTAGATACCATAATCTCTCAAGACTGAAGGATGCCAATGATAGATAGAGCCCAGTGTCCCAGTCTGTCCAGATCCTTCTGTATGTTGAGCCTATCTTCTGGAGTATTGGCTATTCCTGCCAGCTTGATGTCATCCACAAATTTGATGAATTCCCCTTCTATCCCCTTGTCTAAATCATTGATGAAGATATTGTAGACTATCTGACCATTCACAAAACAATTACCAATTATTAGCAATACATTAAAACATGGAATATGCTACTCCTATATGGAATGCAGAAAGGTATTTCTAGCAGATGATGATATACATAATACTGGAAGATGGGGAAGTGAGCAAATCCCCTATATTCTTGGTGACCTTATATTGTCCCATAATAGCATTGCCACAAACTCTTCATGGAGAAAAGATGGAGTTGGTATTTAGCTCTTTTGCAATTTCTGTTTCCTGGTTATTGTTCTGTCTGTTACAAGTTTCTAGTTGCCCCTGGCGAGTGGCAGTTTCTGGGGGTAGTTGGCACTCATAACTACGGTAAGTACAAGGTTCCCACCCACAGGCTTTGGAGAGGCAAATGATACAATTTAGGATGGGCTGTCCATCACTTATTATACTTTGAAATGACTTTAAATGGGACTTGCAAGTGGCAATAAACAAAACACTATCATTTTCTCTTCAAGGCTGGTCCTGTAATCAATTATTCTCAGCTATCTCTCCCCTCCCTTTTCAGCTTGTTGAATGAGCATTGTTTGAAACAAAGCTGATGTAAATTCTTAAGTCAGAATTAGCAACCTGATGCTTTCTAAATATTTTTTAGACCATAGCTCCTATAAGCCTCAGCCAATAAAGCAAGAGCTTTAAGAACTACAAAGTGTATGATCAGGACCCAACTATGTTTTTGAATCAAATGCGTGGGATTGTAATTGTCAAAAAGCCAGTTGTGACCACATGACAAAAGCCTTGCCTCCCATTCATGATTTACATAAAGGAATGGATGTCTCTGATCACACCTGCCATTTTGATTTTGTTTAACTACCAGAGGTCCTTGAATGCAATTACACTTTATTTAAATTAAATACACTTAACATATCCCTTGTAATAAGTAGAAGAAATTACCTTGAAGAACAGGAAGAAGAACTACTACCAAGAAAATGGTCAAATAAAAGAAACCCGAGTCTGGGTCAGAACTGTAATCTGAGAAAGCAACTCAGACAAACCCCTCCATAATTCTCATGAATAAAAGGAGAGGGGGGAGGGAAGTACATTCACACTTGCAAGATTCTGTTATTATAATCTTATGTTAAACGTAGTATTAACCTACTGTATATGACTTTGATTTCCTTGTCTGATCAACTATAAATGCAGATACATCTAAGTAGCCACTGTATATACAGTACACTGGATGGTTTGTTGTTCAGCCTATAAAGTGTTCAGTTATCAGCATTTCATTTATTTTATTTATATCCTGCCTTTATAATTTTTTTTTTTTTACAAACAATTCAAGGAGGCAAACATACCTAGTAATTCTTTTTCCTCCTATTTTCCCTTGTGAGGTGAATTGGGCTGAGAGAGCATGACTGAACCAAGCTGGTTTTCATGGCTAGCTTTCATTTTCCAACCCATGCTATACCATTATAATTAGGCAGAGAGACAGTGAGTAACTCCAAGTCACCTACTGAACAATGTGATGAATGAACCATTTGTATCCAAGTTTTTAATTTCTCAAGCACTGCCTCACTGTAGCCCACTGAGAATTGCCTTTTGCAGATGGATTTAATAATGGGCTTATTCATTCATGTGATACTTAAATTCCTCTTGCCTTTGTTGTAAATTTTTCTGTTTCTAACCAGAACTATGTTGAGGGTTGATTCTGGTTTTTGATTTTGAGGATTAGTTCTTATTAAGGATAGGAAATTTTTCTATCACCTCTATCAATAAAAAATACTGTTCAGTTCCTAACCCCTAAAACAAGGAAAGCCCAGATGATGCTTAGAAGTGAGTTGTTTTATGCCGCCATCAACCCCTGCTGATGAGCACTGGTCATAAGTAAAGAATGATGAGGGAAAGCTATGTGAAAATGTTTAGAAGTATCCAACCTCATAATCACAACAAAAGCAATCTCTGGTTCAAATCAAGCCCTAATAATTATTGAAAGATAATTTTTAAGTTTCAGCTGGAAAGCCAGCAGCCCATGTTTGAGCCTGAGTGTCATACAACAGGGTGAGCTCCTTTCCTTGTCCCAGCTCCTGCCAACCTAGCAGCTTGAAAGCATGCAAATATGAGTAAATAAATAGGTACCACTATGATGGGAAGGTAACAGCGCTGTGACATCATGCTGGTCACATGACCATGGAAATGTCTTCGGACAGCACTGGCTCAATGGCCTTCAAATGGGCATGAGCACTGCCCCCTACAGACAGCAATGACTAAAGGAGTAAAATCCTCAGAGATTCCTTTATCTTTTTTTAAAAAATTAATAATAAAAATAATTGTGGGCACAAGTTACAGATAAACATATAAGTATGTGCCAATTTTTAAAATTGTTTTTGCTTCTTTTTAAACATTGACTCCCAAAGTGGGGGTTTTGGGGGAGGGGGAATACAGCTGGGGTTGAGGCAGAGCTGAAGTGCCATTAATGAAATATTGCCATCTCTGCAGGAGCTCAATGAGATATAATCACTCCATCTGGAAGGTCTGTAATAGTTCTGAGTCTGGTTTTAATTGCACAAAGAAAAACCTACAGTCCAAAGGAGCTGGGATCTGCATTCACAATGATGGAATTGACAGATTTATCTGCCACCAAATATTATTGTCATTATGTTCAGTCGTAATAAAGTAGAACATTCAAGGATAGTTTATGATTTCAAAATCTATATAACATGA